TGGGGACGTTTCCACTCATAACGACATTTTCGAATGCGACATCCTTGCCAGTTTCAGCGTCTTTTGGTTCTGGCTCAATAGATCCAATAACACGAGCAAATTGACCAGCACCACCAGTTTGCTTCTTGTGGGTATAGTTAAATTTACTGCCGCCTGTGATGGTTTCTCTGAATGCTACTTGTGGTTTGCCAGTGATACAAGGAACCCCATATTCTCGCTTCATGCGCTCAACATAAATTTCGAGATGAAGCTCGCCCATTCCCGAAATAATAGTCTGTAGGTTTATGTCTTAGCGCAAGGTCCTCAATCAGATAACAGAATGGGCCTACCTCTTGAGATTCTGCGTCTACATGGACTCGGAATGTAGGGTCTTCCTTCTTGAAGCGGTTCAAAGCTCGAGAAAAGTTGGGGGTCTCTGTACCTTCTGGCTTGATTGAAAGTGAAATGACCGGGTCGGGCACAAACATGCTCGACATGGAGTAAGAGGTTTGGCCATCGGTGAAAGTATCTCCGGATGCGCAATCAATACCAAAAATGGCACAAATTTCACCAGGACCAATGCTTTCGATATCCTGATCTGTGTCAGCATGAGAAGGTGTCCTTTAGGGACCTACATACCTCCATTTCGTTACTATGCATGCGCACCAGTCGTGGTACTTTGACTCTCTTTCCAGTCTTGGCATGCCAAATCCAACCACCTTTCTTAATGGAACCCTGGTACACCCGCATGTATGTCAATTGACCATAGCGCCCTTCTTCCAGTTTGAATGCAAGCGCAACCAAAGGTGATTCTGCCGCTGGTATGAGGTCCACCGATTGCTCTCCGGCTGGTTTAGCAAGGTCCAAAGCGGTAGTTAATGAATCAGAGGGTGTAGGTAGATACGTGCATACACCATCCAATAGCGGCTGGACGGCAGTATTTTTGACAGCGGAACCCAGAAAGACCGGCGTGAATTTACGGGCAACGGTTGCACGTCGGATCGCTGCGACTAGTAGCTCTGTGGTGATAGGTGCATCCTCCAAGTAAGCATCGCTAATAGCCTCATCCACCTCTGCCAGTTGCTCGATAAGTTCGGCCCTGCGATCTTTAGCTTCCTGAAGCAGGTTGGCCGGAATCTCATCTTCCTCGACAATGTCGATACTAGAGTACATTAATTAGTGCGTTGAGTCACGAATGGCATAGCTTACCCTTTGATGCCCTTGTTATAGATTGCCTTCCACCTGACGAGGTCGATGACTCCTTTGAACTCGTCTTCCGCACCTATAGGGACATGGACGGCAGCAGCTGGTATTCTTAACTTTTGGCGAATTTGTTGAATGACCCTTGCTGGATTCGCTCCTGGTCTTTACAGAGTTAGAAGGGCTAGAGAAAAAAATTCCTAACCAACCTATCCATTTTATTGATGAATGATATCCGTGGCACATTATATCTTCGCATTTGCCGATCGACCGTAATTGTCTGACTCTATAGATGGGTTTGTTACAGACCGGTTCCAATGGTGAGATAAGCTTTGCGTACCTGTACTCCAGAGACAGCACATAACACCAGAATAGCACCATCAAGGACACGGAGGGCACGTTCAACCTCAATAGTAAAGTCGACGTGACCAGGAGTATCAATAATGTTAATTGAATAGTCCTCCTTCTCTCCAGTGATAGGGTTGTTCATTTTCCAGTCACAAAACGTGGCTGCACTCTGGATTGTGATTCCTTTTTCTCTTTCCAACTCCATACTGTCCATTTTTGCCCCCACATTGTCCTTTCCTCTGACCTGGAAACCCGGTTAAAATTTTGTATACACTCTGTAAGGGCTGGCCCCACCTCATGAATCGCGTTAATTCTTCCTGTGTAGAAGAGAATTCTTTCCGTCAGAGTGGTTTTCCCGGAATCAATATGCGCAGACACTCCAATGTTTCGCTGGCGAAACAGTCGAGCTCTATCTTC